AAAAAAATATATATATTATAATATAATTCACCTGGGTACTAAATGATTTGTGAACAGAACAATTAAATTTTGACAGTCTATGTTCTAATTCTCTTCAGGGGAGTCATAATTAATATAAATTTCAATGCACAGGTTATTTAAAGCCATCTGATGAACCTCTCTGGTGACCAGCAGACTGCTTGCTATATACTTAATTTCTAAAAGTATATATATATTTTATTTTAAACAAGTTGTTCATTTTCAGCAGCTCTGTGAGTATGGTGTGGCTGGCTGATCCCCAGAGCAGCCTTCTCTAAAGGCTGTTGAGCTCCAGGTGCCTGCTGAGGCCTCCTGTCTGTCTGCCTGGCTGACCTACACTGGCACTCACCATATGTGCCCATCTCATCACCTCCTGTCATTGTCACACTAAACAAAATATGCCAGCATTCCTTGTCTGACTCTGGATTGTGCTCCTTATCCATCAGAATCCATCCCTGCCACTTTAAAATTCTTAGTACTTGACATTTTAAATAATAATCTATGATTCTCAAATGGTAAACCCAGCATAATTATGTTGCATTAGTGTTTTATTTTAAAAAGCCCTACACATTTTACAAGTATGTACCACTGCAAAAAGTCAAACAAATCCAGGTTTTATTATTGGTGTCACCGTTGGCTTGCTGGTGGACATTTCGGCAGTCTCTCCTGGCTCAACACCAGTGATTATCACACTTTGCTCCAATGAAGCAGCAAAGCCCCTGGTAGCCTGGTTACACAAAACCTGAGCAATGGGGACAATAATTAAGTCATAAATCTTTCCTTGGCCATATGAAAAGGCTGCACCTGATTACAACCACCCACCTTGAATTCTACACATAATGTGGTTCCTGTCCATAATCAACCAACTCAGCTGATAAGAAACCAATTCAGGGTCTCTGCTTCTTGATAGCATTAGCGGCAGCTCACCTTGAGCAAATTAAATACCTAAACAAATATGTCCCCTGGAATCTAATATTCCAAACCACTATAAAAGGCTAAACTGCATGTGTTGAAATCAGATTTATTTGCTGTGCAAGGCTGAATTCCCCCAGAGTATGTATGTATGTATGTATGTATGTATGTATGTATGTATGTATATATATATATATATATATATATATATATATATATATATATAT